CGGAGCGGCGATAGCGCTGTCTCTCGGCTAGAAGCGGAAGGAAATGCTGATCGTATCAGAGTTCATAAAGAGAGCTGAAATACACGCAGAAAGATGAAGATATTTCCAGGTATCCTGTGTTTAAGGATGCTGAATAAGGCATTTGTGCTGAATAATAGTTTTAGCATTGAAATTTTGTGTATCATGCACTGTAAAAGGTTATGAGACGTTAGAATCTGACGTTTTAGAATTAGTAGATTAGTGGAAGAATGAATTAGAGACATCTGCACTTTTTGTCTAGTGATGGACACAAACTCTGTTTTAAAACCTAGTGAGCAGCCTACATAGGGAGCATCCCAACTATCATGGAACCTCACAAGTGACTGATTTGATTTTTTGATTGTACTCTAGTAATCATCAAAATAAGCATAAAATTTTAAAAAATGATTGCATTTAATGGTAAAATTATAAAAATAAAAATATCTTGTTTTATTCTTATAATTTCAGAGTTAACGGACGGCTAGCTAACTTCTTGTGTTAGGCCAAGTTTTCCAAATCCAGCTTTTTCTCAAAAAAATGAAAGAAAGAAAAAAAAAAAAAGTATTATAATGTATTTGAAATGTTTGCACTTTTTGTCTAGTGATGGACACAAACTCTGTTTTAAAACCTAGTGAGCAGCCTACATAGGGAGCATCCCAACTATCATGGAACCTCACAAGTGACTGATTTGATTTTTTGATTGTACTCTAGTAAGCATCAAAATAAGCATAAAATTTTAAAAAATGATTGCATTTAATGGTAAAATTATAAAAATAAAAATATCTTGTTTTATTCTTATAATTTCAGAGTTAACGGACGGCTAGCTAACTTCTTGTGTTAGGCCAAGTTTTCCAAATCCAGCTTTTTCTCAAAAAAATGAAAGAAAGAAAAAAAAAAAAAGTATTATAATGTATTTGAAATGTTTGCACTTTTTGTCTAGTGATGGACACAAACTCTGTTTTAAAACCTAGTGAGCAGCCTACATAGGGAGCATCCCAACTATCATGGAACCTCACAAGTGACTGATTTGATTTTTTGATTGTACTCTAGTAAGCATCAAAATAAGCATAAAATTTTAAAAAATGATTGCATTTAATGGTAAAATTATAAAAATAAAAATATCTTGTTTTATTCTTATAATTTCAGAGTTAACGGACGGCTAGCTAACTTCTTGTGTTAGGCCAAGTTTTCCAAATCCAGCTTTTTCTCAAAAAAATGAAAGAAAGAAAAAAAAAAAAAGTATTATAATGTATTTGAAATGTTTGCACTTTTTGTCTAGTGATGGACACAAACTCTGTTTTAAAACCTAGTGAGCAGCCTACATAGGGAGCATCCCAACTATCATGGAACCTCACAAGTGACTGATTTGATTTTTTGATTGTACTCTAGTAAGCATCAAAATAAGCATAAAATTTTAAAAAATGATTGCATTTAATGGTAAAATTATAAAAATAAAAATATCTTGTTTTATTCTTATAATTTCAGAGTTAACGGACGGCTAGCTAACTTCTTGTGTTAGGCCAAGTTTTCCAAATCCAGCTTTTTCTCAAAAAAATGAAAGAAAGAAAAAAAAAAAAAGTATTATAATGTATTTGAAATGTTTGCACTTTTTGTCTAGTGATGGACACAAACTCTGTTTTAAAACCTAGTGAGCAGCCTACATAGGGAGCATCCCAACTATCATGGAACCTCACAAGTGACTGATTTGATTTTTTGATTGTACTCTAGTAAGCATCAAAATAAGCATAAAATTTTAAAAAATGATTGCATTTAATGGTAAAATTATAAAAATAAAAATATCTTGTTTTATTCTTATAATTTCAGAGTTAACGGACGGCTAGCTAACTTCTTGTGTTAGGCCAAGTTTTCCAAATCCAGCTTTTTCTCAAAAAAATGAAAGAAAGAAAAAAAAAAAAAGTATTATAATGTATTTGAAATGTTTGCACTTTTTGTCTAGTGATGGACACAAACTCTGTTTTAAAACCTAGTGAGCAGCCTACATAGGGAGCATCCCAACTATCATGGAACCTCACAAGTGACTGATTTGATTTTTTGATTGTACTCTAGTAAGCATCAAAATAAGCATAAAATTTTAAAAAATGATTGCATTTAATGGTAAAATTATAAAAATAAAAATATCTTGTTTTATTCTTATAATTTCAGAGTTAACGGACGGCTAGCTAACTTCTTGTGTTAGGCCAAGTTTTCCAAATCCAGCTTTTTCTCAAAAAAATGAAAGAAAGAAAAAAAAAAAAAGTATTATAATGTATTTGAAATGTTTGCACTTTTTGTCTAGTGATGGACACAAACTCTGTTTTAAAACCTAGTGAGCAGCCTACATAGGGAGCATCCCAACTATCATGGAACCTCACAAGTGACTGATTTGATTTTTTGATTGTACTCTAGTAAGCATCAAAATAAGCATAAAATTTTAAAAAATGATTGCATTTAATGGTAAAATTATAAAAATAAAAATATCTTGTTTTATTCTTATAATTTCAGAGTTAACGGACGGCTAGCTAACTTCTTGTGTTAGGCCAAGTTTTCCAAATCCAGCTTTTTCTCAAAAAAATGAAAGAAAGAAAAAAAAAAAAAGTATTATAATGTATTTGAAATGTTTGCACTTTTTGTCTAGTGATGGACACAAACTCTGTTTTAAAACCTAGTGAGCAGCCTACATAGGGAGCATCCCAACTATCATGGAACCTCACAAGTGACTGATTTGATTTTTTGATTGTACTCTAGTAAGCATCAAAATAAGCATAAAATTTTAAAAAATGATTGCATTTAATGGTAAAATTATAAAAATAAAAATATCTTGTTTTATTCTTATAATTTCAGAGTTAACGGACGGCTAGCTAACTTCTTGTGTTAGGCCAAGTTTTCCAAATCCAGCTTTTTCTCAAAAAAATGAAAGAAAGAAAAAAAAAAAAAGTATTATAATGTATTTGAAATGTTTGCACTTTTTGTCTAGTGATGGACACAAACTCTGTTTTAAAACCTAGTGAGCAGCCTACATAGGGAGCATCCCAACAAATCATGGAACCTCATAAGTGACTGATTTGATTTTTTTTTTTATATTCATTTTTTTTTACTATAACAGGCTTCAAAATAAGTATAAAATTAAAAATAAAAAAAATGTTATTGACTTTTTTTGAAGTTAACTTTGAAATTATAAAAACAAAAAAATAAATATTTTTACAATTAAAAATATACTTTTTTATTGTACTATAATAGGCATCAAAATAAGTATAAAATAAAAAATATATACATTTTTGTTTACTTTTTTTGCAGTTAACTCTAAAATTATAAAAAACAATATATATATATATATTTTTTGGTAGCAGTGATTGCTTACGTTTTATTCCGGCTCACAAAATACTTTGACCGCCCGTATAAAAATGGCTCTTTAGAACGAAATCAAAACCATAAACATTGGTGTAAAATGTCAAACAATATATATATATATTTTTTGACAATTAAAAAAATATATATATTTTTTTTATTATTATTATGATTTCACAGTTAATGGACTGCTGGCTACCTTGTTGTGTTAGGCCAAGTTTTCCAAAACCAGCTTTTTCTCAAAAAGTAAAAAAAAATATGTAAAAGAAAAATAAATAAATAAATAAATAAAGTTAGTAGATTACTAGAAGAATGTATTATAATGTACTGGGAGTGCTTGCTCCGTTCCAAAACCTAGTGAGCTGCCTACATAAGGAGCATCCCAACTATCATGGAACCTCACAAGTGACATTTTTTACTGTATTCTAATAATAAGCATCAAAATACACAGCACATGGAGATATTGGGTCAAATATTCAATTTTTAATCACCAAAAACAATTTTATCAGTATTTTTCAGTTTACAAAGAAATTAAAGTTTATTTCGAATCAACATTTCTCACCTCACCTGCCATCTTGCATTTATCTTTTCACTGATTGTTCTTCATTGAGGATGCATGCGATGCAAATTTGACCAAAACATCAAAAGTGATGGTTGGTAAGTTCAGAAAGTATCTGGTCTCGACACTTTAGTCACACTTTAAATTAGATTAAAAAAAATATCAAAGCAAATGCTGCAGGAGCCAAATGATGGTCCTGTTCCACTAATGCTGGACAAGGACTGATCTGTTGTTTTATCTTCTCAAACTTGCTTAAAAATAAAGGCATCAGTGGTTCCACGAAGAGCTTTTAACATCCGCAAAAGATTCTTTATAGTGAAAAAAGGTTCTTCAGATTAAGAAAAATTGGTTCTTGTAAGAACTGGTCACTGAAAGGTTTCCAAAGTGGTTCTTTTTTTTTTAATGATTTTGCTTTCGGTGTGCTTTTGCTGTCTATCGTTCAAATAAATGACATTTGCATAAAATACATTAAGATTTTTGTGTGTGTGTGTGTTGTAAAGTTGCTTAGCGGAGGCTATAAGAAAAGTACAAGAGTGCAGAGAGAGGATCTAGATCTCTCTATCTTTCTCTGTTTCTCTTGTTCTCTTTTTCTCCTTCAAGTTCACTTCATACAGATGTTGCGATCGGTCAATAATTAAAACAGGCCTTATTCCAGATCACAAGAAGTTGTTGGACTTTAAACTGATCAGTAAACAGTTTTATCCTCATGTTTTGTTGCACAGGAAACTTTAGTGACTGTCTAGTTTACATATGCAGATTATCTGCAGGCTTTTATACGACTGTCCTGCTTTCTGACATCATGATATTATGTGGGAGTTATTAATTGGCATGTGACTGATGAAGATGATGAAGCTGTGGTGAAGGCTTTCCAGCGCTGTATTCATCTCACAGCAGAGAAGGACTTGAAATGCTTTTCTTAGCCACTCGAATCCGCCTAAAGCCTCTTGTTTCAGAAGCGAGCGTTAATGCCTTTTTGGCCGGCCACTAATAAAATTGAAAAATAAATGCTAATTGTTTCATGCATTTAAAGGAGGCTGGCCTCACTCCATTAACTGTGTGTGTGTGTTTTAATTTTCAGGATCAGCAGGCTGTTTAACGGAACCGAGCCCATCGTTCTGGACAGTTTAAAGCAGCATTACTTCATCGACAGGGACGGAGAGATATTCCGCTACATTCTCAGTTTCCTGCGAACCTGCAAACTGTTGCTGCCGGATGACTTTAAGGTAACAGCGTAATTCTGTCTGAAGCTTCTGATTCAGTGGCTGTTTGGAATAGAATGTAGCGTGCACATGTAGTGTACTACAGTAAACGCTGTATACTGCTACAAAATAGTATGTGAAACAGTATGCAGTATGCAAGGATAAATGCTGCATTATTGTCACATGACTTCATTGCCAGTGTTATTTTAGTATCTTTCAGATACTGTTATAGTTTTCATTCATATTTTGAATTAGTTTTTTTCAGTTTTCTATTTTCATTTACATTTTAGTAATTTAGTTTTTTTAATGTGTCTATATAGTTTTTGTTCATTTTTGTTTTAGTTTTAGTTATTTTAGAACACCAAGTTAAAATCAGTGTTATTTTAGTATCATTGAGATGCTATTATAGTTTTTATCAATATTTTGAATTAGGTTTTATTTTTCTATTTTTGTTTAAATTCTAGTTAAAGTTTTAGTAATTTTGTCGTTTTTTGTCATTTTTATTAGTTGTTCTTTTTTAATGCGTCTATATAGTTTTTATTCATTTTTATTTCCATTTTAATTTTAGTTATTTTAATACAGCAAGTTAAATTGTTCTTTTAGTATCATATTTAGTTTTTGTTTATGTGTTGAATGTTTTTATTTGTATATTTTATGTTTTAATTTTAATGTTAGTTTTAGTAATTTTGTTGTGTGTTTTTGTTATTTTTATTTTAAATATTTCTCCCTACATATATTTGATATATTATCTATAATATATTTAAATATGTCTATATAGTTTTTATAAATATTTTTTATTTTTTTTGTTATTTTAGTACATCAAGCTAAACTAAATGAAAGTGGGAAATATTGCCTGGCAACTATCCGAAACAAAATAATTGTAAGTTTTAATATTTTAATTTATTTTAATTATCATTTATTTTATTTCAAGTAACAAAATATATATAATAAAATTCATGGCTTTAGTTTTAGTTAACTGTAATAACCCTGCTCATTGCATTATGTTAATTTAGCAATTAGCATCCCGTTCTCATCTTAGAAATAAATAGATTTTTTTGATTTGGAATTTGTTTAATCCAGTTTTAGATTTCATTCTTTGCTCTGGAACTGGGAAACCAAAGTGATTGCATTGCATTGTTAGATACAATATATATTCCACCGTTTGATCTCCATTAAATCTCATCGCTGTCCGAGAGAAAGAACTAATATATTAAAGAGATTGCATTTGACATTTTTCTTTCTTAAAGGTAGGGCTGCACGATTATGACAAAAATCATAACTGTCGATTATTCCATTGAAATTGTAATTGCGATTATTAATTACGATTATCACAATTTACATTGAATGATGTTTATACCATTGTTTGATGCAACTGCGTGCCGTATTTTTATCAGATTGGATTCTTCTTTAAATTATTATATAATTTAAATTTTTTGTTATACTAAAACTAAAATTAAAACAATGGGAAAACCCTTACGATAACATGTAGAAAGAAAAAAAAGCATCTTAAGCACACAGAATAACATAAGTGGACTTTGAACGATTAATTGCCGCTTTGAACGATTACGTAATTGTGGCATCCGTAATTGTAATCGCGATTAGAAATTCGATTAACTGTGCAGCCCTACTTCAAGGTACTGTTATTTTGGTTGGTGGATAGTTGAGTTGAATGAAAAAAACTGACAGTAGAAAAAGACACTTTATACTAACGTCTGCTGTAGCTCCCCTTGTGGCAATACTGAGAATGCAGTGCATTGCAAATTGAAGTCTGATGCATTTCAAGATGCAATAATGCACAGAACCAGAAAAAAACATGATAAAATGACTAGTAATAGCAGCTCTTTCATGAGTTTGTGTGTTAATCAGATGCAATCATGACAAGCAGTGAATGTCAGGACATATTGTTGGTCGGTTGATTTTTATTTCTGATGTATTTGGTAGCTCCGCCCATAGTGCAATATTATTGGTCGAAAATCCACATAGATAAATATTAAGCATGAAATCTGTTCTGATTGGCTGTGATCGTGCCACATTGCACAGTATTTTGACTGTCACTATGGATAGACAAATTACTCATTACTCAAATTATTCAATTATGTTTTAATAAAATATATATTTACGGCTGATTTATCCTCATGGATAAACTCTACTTTTACATCTTTTAATCTTGATCTGGATTCACTTTGTTTTCCTCTCTCGAGTCGGACAAAGAGCCCAGTTTAGACTGGTTTGATCTGCTGATCAGCGTGTGTGAAATCAGACAGAAATGCAACGGCAGCCGGCGGTGTTAAGCGTGTCTTTATCTGTGAGGCATCGTGACTGTCATGACCCGCGGTGGCGTTCGTTTCGCTAAATCAATGTGAACGTGGAGCTAAAGCGGAATATGTTTTGCATCTCTCAATGGAAAAAGCATCATTTGTACCAGAGATTATCAGTTGCTAAGCTGCTTGAATAAATAAAAGCTGCTGTTCGACTTTTAATGTCATTTCTCAAAGTTGTGTGACCACTGGGAGCATTTTAATGAACAATCTTTTGTTTTTAGAATAACATGCACTGATGGTTCGTTCATAATAAATCCAGTGAGTAAGACAGAGTCGGATTTGATTCCAAGGTTTGTCACATAGGATCTGACCTCTACATCAGCATGTGTTTGACAAAATCAAAGAGAAATGGTCATCTCTTATACAGTATGTATTAGATGGAGACGGGGGAATATCTCTGCCTCTCTCTCTCTCTCTCTGTCTGTCTGAGAGATGTTGTCTTGCCGGTGGGCAACAGAGAAAGATCATTATTTCGGATCACAACAGGCCTGTCGGATGATCGCCTGAACATGGGATTTCAGGCTAGCGTATCGTCTGTCTTTCTATCTGCTCTTGTTGGGCTCGGTTTCTTTCTTCACCTCTCTTGTATCAGGCTCTTCGACATGTTGCATGAAGCTAGACTACAAGAGGAGCTTTAGAGAACGAGTCCTGTTAAAAACAGAGACCCAGGCGCATCTTTTAAAACCTCACTGTTCTCTCCAGCGCTGATGCATCGCATGCATTTTGTCATCTGCACTGTGAAGGGCAAAAGTATTTTCTCTCGTTTTCAGTGCAAATATCTAAATACTCTTAAATCAAGATGCATTTACTTAAAAAGTAAAATGACAAGATATTAAGTGTTTTCTGAAAGATGTAGCGAAAGTAAGAAAAGTGTAAACATTTAGTATATATTTATTGCCAATTAAAAACAGTATATTATTAGTTAAAAATAATTATTTTGTAAATGTATATTTATAACACTGCATGTATTTTAAACATATTTTCTGCAAAAAAATGATTTTCTTCCTCAGTATTTTTGTCTTGTTTTCCAGTAAATGTCTACATTTACTTAAAAAGTTAAATGATATAAGATATTAAGTCTCGCTTTCTCAAAAAAATAAAATAAAATAAAATAAAATAAATAAAAAATTAAGTGAGTTTAAAACAGAAAAATAAGCTTGATTCAAAGGGAAAACACGTTTATTTTTCTAGCCCGGTTGGAAGATTTTTTTTGTCTTGTTTTAAGTGTAAACTCACTTAATTTTGATACCTTTTTCACAGAATAAGACAAGTTCTCAAAATTAATATCTTGAATTAAGATTGCCTAGATATTTGTACAGGAAAACAATACTAAGAAAATCATTTTTACAGTGTTTTTGTGCAGAAATGTGCAATGTGTTTTATGTTAATTAAATATTAATTAAATAAATTATATTACATACATTATCATGTCAATTTTATTTGTATATCACTTTCACAATACACATTGTTTAAAAGCAGCTTTACAGGAAATCATTATGTTAATGTTTATAATATCTTAATACCTTCATGCCTTATTGTCAAATTAGAGCTGGGCAAAAATATAGTTGGGTCAAAGACGAAAAAGGGTTTAAGCATAAAAACAATAAGTGTAATACTGCTTTAAATTGTTGTTGTTTTGCCCCCAAATTTTTTTTTTAATTCTGTTTAATTTAATTGCAATTTTGTTTTTGTTTTTCTGAGCAAAAAAATAAATATCAATAAATATCATTTTTCTCTGATTTACAGAAGAGACCCACTAAAATGTCATTCAGTGTAACAATCTTGTCAGGCATATTTACAACAAAAATCAATTTATGACATATTAAAAGACTAATTACTTTCACCCCAAATACTAATTAGTTGTAATTTGACATTTTTAAAATTTGCCACTGTCCTAGGTTTTGCCCATTTGTCACTCAGTAAGAATTTTTTTACTCATTTAAAACAATCAAATTTAATATGCTCCCTTATTCTTTTATATATTTTAATATGTACACGTCAGAATAAGCATGTTGTTTGAATTTTTACATAAATATTGTGTTACACTGAATGATTATTTAAACCAAATTTTGACATTTTATTCTCCAAAAACTTATTTGAAACCTTAAAATACACACTTTACTTATATTTAATGTGCTTTCTGTGGACATAAAATCACTTTTGTAAGTTTATTTTGATGCGGACATCTTAACATCTTTGACCCAGTTACATTTTGCAACAATATAAACAATCAAGCAGCTATAGAGTATTTATAACTTGAGTATATTGCATATAGGTGGATCAAGTTGAATATACTATATATATACAACTCACAGAGCTGTGCGATAATGTAGTTTAATACAGTCTGTGTCGTACGGTTGATCCTTCTCTGTCTGTTTTCTGCAGCAAAACGCAGAGAAGCCGCGTGTACAATAAGTCATGTAGTTTAGTTACCATTCCAGCTGTGTGCACTTCATGACTGTTCATATCCATCTTCATGCAGATTACTCTGCAGACGTTGCACACAAAGCCGTATCCTCAGTTGAACTCCAACATTTTCCTCCCTGATGCACACCTCGGCTCCTCCCGCTCCGTGATGGAGAGTCGAGGAAGAATAGTACCATCTGGACTTGTGGGAAATTAAGGGAAAACTGAAAGGGGCAAAAAACCCCTGGCAAGACATCCCCGAGAGGAAGAGAGCGAGCGTTTGGCAGTCTGCTGTTGTTTGCCTGGATAAAGAAACGCTGAAGCCTGGAGCTCCGTCACTGACGGGATCCAACGAGCATGAGATCCTGCCAAACGTCTTGACTGTTGCCCCTCGGGCGGCGCTGATACCCCTCGGAGCTAAACATGCCACCCTGCACCCCAGTCGCACTGCTTTTTAAAGATTCATTCACTTATTGGCTTTTATTTATGTATTTATTTGTTTTGTTGCTTTGTTAGCAGCTTTTGCAGTAATAGCATCACTATCTCATTAACTATTAAACGTCAGCGTGCAACGTGTCCTGCAATTTTGCATGGGGAAACACCACTCTTATTTTAATTTTAGAAAGTGTAAACATCTATACATGGGCAAAAAAAGAGCGATATCCACGTATTGAGGTTAGAAACGTGTCCAGGCCAAAGCTATATGTATTTGATCATATTTTTCCCTTATAATGTCCACTTACAATGTTTTCAAACGATCTAAAATATATTTTTAAAACTTATATTGCATGCATTTTAAATGCTTTTTTTCTTATTTTCCAGTATAAATATCTAAACATTCTTAAATCAAGTGCATTTATTTAAAAAGTAAAATTACATAAGATATTAAGTCTTGTTTTCTGAAAAATGTAACAAAATTAAGAAAAGTGTGCACATCTAGTATATGTTTATTGTACATTAAAAAGACCTAAAACTGAAAGATTTTAATGCATTTTATGCATATTATTTATTGTTCATTTTATGGATGCGATCTGAATAGGTTATCTTCAGTCTTTGTTGGTTTCATGGTTTGTGAATTGGTTTATTATTTCTACCAAAATTCGAAAGACTGTCCATCACATTTCTAGCGCTGAAAGAAGTAAATAAAGTGCTTTCCCGTCTCCATTACAGGATCCGATCTGATTAACCAGAGGGTTTTAGCGCTGAGATTTATTCTATGACCTGCAATTGAGTGTATTTCATTTTTGATGCTGTTGTCATTTATGCTTCATGCAAGTTTTTCATGCATTAGTTTTTTTTTTCTCCCCTTGACATTTTTTCAGTTGTTTGAAGTATAAATCAAGCAAACTGCACTGAAAAAAATGTTTCATTCATCCAATTAAAAAAATTTAGGGTAATGATTCACATCTATATTTTTTAATATAACTTAGGGCAAGTTATTTATTTTTCATTGGCTCAAGTTAAAAAATATAGATGTGAATCATTACCCTAAATTTTTTAATTGGATGAATGAAAAAAAAATTTCAGTGTGTTATTAGGTTTATGCTTATAAAATCTAAAAAAAAAAAAAAAAATGCATTTTAATATATTTACACTTAAATTTAAAAGTTTGGGGTTGATAAGATTTTTAAAGGTTTTTAAAAGAAGTCTATTTTGCTCACCAAGGCTGCATTTATTTGATTAAAAATACAGTAAAAACTGTGAAATATTATTATAATTTAAAATAGCTGTTTTCTGTGTGAATATCTGTTGAAATTTAATTTATTGCTGTGATGCACAGCTGAATTTTCAGCATCATTACTCCAGTGCCATTCGCTGGTTTACATCGCACGGGTAATTTCATTCAGCTCTGCATGTTTAACATCACGCTATCACCTTTCATCTGCTCAGTGGAGGCGTGTTTGTTTAATGTGGGCCGTGTTTAAAAAACAGCATAAATGCTGAAATAAATAATAGTTTGTCAAACTGTCTAAATGTTTAACAACATGATTATTAAACTAAAAAGTGTCTCTGTTCCAAACCCTATCTGGAGAGCATTTTTTTTGGCATTAAGAAAATGTCTCATTTAACCAAAATCACCAAGGCTGCATTTATTTATTTAAAAATACAGTAAAAAATTTGAAATATTATTATAATTTAAAACAGCTGTTTTCTATGTGAATATCTGTTAACATGTAATTTATTTCTGTGATCAAAGCTGAATTTTCAGCATCATTACTCCAGTCTTCAGTGTCACATGATCTTCAGAAATCATTCTAATATGCTGATTTGCTGCTCAAGAAACATTTCTGATTATTATCAATGTTGAAAACAGTTGTGCTGCACAATATTTTTGTGGAAACCGTTATTTTTCAGGATTCACAGATGAATAGAAAGTTCAAAAGAACAGCTGAAATAGAAATTATTTGTAATATTACTGTAATTTTGAGCAATTTAATGCATCTTTGCCAAATAAAAGTATTTCTTTCATAAAAAAATATGATTGATTCCAAACTTTTGAACATAAGTGTATGAGCCAGCTAAAAAATAAATAAATAATACAATTAAAATAAATAAAATCTGGCTAAATATTTGCTGAATAAAATGTATTAATTTCTTAAAAAAAAAAAAAAGACCCCAAACCTTTGAGCAGTAATGTATCTTGCATGCATGGGTGAGGCAATCCCAGAATGCATTGCTGCTCAGAAAAAAAAAAATGTGATAGTGGATGGAGTGAAGAGACTATAAGGGACCTTTAACTATAAATATATTTCATTTAATTCTGAAAAGTACTCTAATCAAATATAAAGCAAACTATTTACCCAATATTTGTATGTGCATGATGTATTTATTTTTTGAGCTGATGAGCGTATCATATCATTAGCTCTGCAGCATGTTATTGTCAGACTATTGGACAGTTTCATGTGAGTAGTGATATTTGTGTGGCATGTGGAGTTGTTTACTTTGGCTTCTGCACACGTTGCATTAGTTTTAATGGTTGGACTATGTAGACATTTGTCAGACAGATGTCTCTGACCATTGCAACGTAAGTCGTGTTGGATAAAAGCATCTGCCAAATTCATAAATGTAAATGTTGCACTGTGTCTTGCTTTGTTTTCAGTGTCTGTCTTTGATTGATAGAATGTCTATAAGATCTCTAAAGGTGATATTTTATTTGGTTCTCAGACACTTTACCGATTTCTAGTTCCAGAGTTGCATGATATATATGTGACCCTGGACCACAAAACCAGTCTTAAGTGTCAATTTTTCAAAATTGAGATTTATACATAATCTGAAAGCTGAATAAATAAGCTTTCCATTGATGTATGGTTTGTTATGATCGGACAATATTTGAAAAAATCTGGAATCTGAGGGTGCAAAGAAATCAAAATATTGAGAAAATCGCCTTTAAAGTTATCCAAATGAAGTTCTTAGCAATGCATAATACTAATCAAAAATTAAGTTTTGATATATTTACGGTAGGAAATTTACAAAATATCTTCATGGAACATGATCTTTACTTAATAT